AAAATTTATACTAACCATATATGAATAATTTATTTTGGATTGGTTGTTGATTTATGTATCAAAACTTAATACAAACTATTTAATATAAATTTTTTACAGCAGAATACAATCAAAATAAATATCAAATTTTTAAAACAATATAAAAAGTGAATAGATTAGACTCATATTCTAGAATATTTAAAAGTAATGATCAATAATTTCTATACAGATATTAAGAAAGTTTTGATTATTATACAAACAAATAATTCTTTTGACAAGTAAATAACAATTAGTATTAATAACTAACTTTTAAATTTATTTATAAAAAATAACAATATAATCAATATAAATTTCATGTTGGCTTTTTAAGCTACACAAATTATTTTCAAACAGTATTAAAACATTAATCTTAATATTAGAAAATACTAACCATGTTCTTTTAGTGTCAAAGAAAAGGACAAGATAAACTTGTTCTTCATAATTTTTCTGAAGAGCTAAAACATCATTTGGTGGGACTGGTATCGGTACTCCGTTATGAAAATAGCCCGTCTTTGGCATATCAGGATTAATTATCTAGAAAAATATTAAAACTTATCATATAACAATAAATATTAATAAACTAAATAAATAATAAAAACTATTATCTAGTACAGTGATTCTCAACTTCTTTTAATTGCAAAACCCTTTTCACCTTGATAAAAAATTTTGAATCCTGAAAACTTTTACTGAATATAAATAAAACAACTAATGAAACATAATTTAAATATACAAAAAACAAGTTAATAATGGTAAAGCAAATATTATTAATTCAAACTGGTAATATGAAGGATTAATCTTTGCAGATGATTTCATCAATGGATTTTTGGGAGTTCAACAAGTGAAAGAATTAAATGCTTTTAATTCTTTTGTGAATTGCTAAACTAAATTAAAATACAACTTTTGAAGAAAGCTGAAACATATTATATTTTAATAAACACCTGAAAATAAATTTCCTTTCTAATTACATCAAATGTAATTATTTTATAATTAATTGTAAATTATTTCCAATCTTTTAATGTATAATTCAATATACACTACTCTACAATAAAGTGGATTTGCATAAAATCTGACTACATGTCAATTTTATCCAAATCCAGTGCTTGCATGTGATCTGATAAGGTTAAATATGATATGTGAAGTGGTAATGTTGTTAGTTCTATGTGAAATTCTGACAATATGTTGAAACAAAAGGAACTTAGTGACTTTGAAAGAGGTGTTATAGTTGGTTGTCACATTAGGAGCAAGTCTATTTGTGCAATTGCGGTAGAATTATCACAGCCACAATCAACTGTTGATGATGATGTAAAGAAGTGGAAGACTACGAGAGTTGGGACACGAACTGCATATGTTGGTCATCCCCGTAAACTGACTGAATGAGATCAGCATGTCCTGAAGTGTGAGGTTCGTAAGAACCACAAGAAATGCTCCGAATCATCAACAGTGAGTTCAACAAACAGCAGGGGTTACGGTGCACCCCAATACTTTGCAAAATGAACTGCACGCCTTCAATATCCACTGATGTGTTGCTGCACACAAACCAAACATCACCCCATCAAACAAAGCTAGTAGACTTGCTTGGTGTTTGCAATGTCACAACTGGTCTGTTGACCACTGGAAAATTGTTTTTTGGAGCGACGAGTCAAGCTACCAGTCATGCTTCCAGTCGGATGAGCATGTTTGAGTTTGGAGAATGCCAGATGAATGTCTGTTACCTGAGTGCATCATTCCAACTGTCAAGTTCAGTGGTGGTGGTGGTGGTGTTCTTGTTTGGGGGTGTTTTTCTTGGTGGTTTGCAATGTTGTTCCTGGTAAATTGGACATTTATGCCTACATGAACATTTTGTACAATCAGGTTCTTCCTACACTCTGGTAATTTTATGGAATGGATGAATGTTACTTCCAGGACGACAATGCTCCATGTCATGTTGCAGCCTCTGTCAAGCAGTGGTATCAAGATATGGATGTCAACCGTCTTCCCTGGCCTGCTCAGAGTCCCAACCTAAACCCAATAGAACATTTGTGGGATGAGTTAGAGCGATGCTTATGGACCAGGGAACCAAGTCCGAAATCTACAGCAGAGCTGGCGACATTCTTGAAGCAGGAATGGGCACAAATGCCCATAGCTGTGTATCAAAATCTTGTTGAAAGTATCCCCAGAAGGGTTGCTAGTGCAATTGCAGCATGTGGGGGACCTCCTCCTATTAAAACATGTATTCTTTACCTTATGCCATCGCATCTTGCTGTCCGGTTCATTATTGTAGGGTAGTGTACACTCAACTACTCAGATTATTTCACCAAGTATTGACATATTTTCTCTATTTAAAATTTTGTTTATAGTTTCAGAAATGTCTTGATAACAAAATTTATATTTAGTAATAGGAGAGCCATCGAACACTCAAATCTAGATATATCCTACTTTGACAAGATATTCAAGTTTTCTGGTTTATAGTCTGCTCCTGAATGGAACCAATGATGTGAGAGAGATTGTTTTCAGTAACTTCGAACTACAATATTAAGAACTGTAATGTAAACTTTAGATTGATGGATATTTCTAAAATATCATTTTAAAAATTTTGTTTTTAACTTATACCAGTTATCTGGATATTTCATACAAAAATTACTTGATTACCTGGATAATTTATAATCTGAATAATCTACTTATGCTATGAGGTGTGTCATTCCAAATGGCATTTTAATCACTTTTTAATATTTTTGTAATACCTACACTATCTGATTACCATTGTAAAGAACTATCATAATAAAATATTTCTATCATTAAAAACCAAGCATACAAGATAAAACTTTACTGTAGACAATTGAATGTCATTCCAAACTGTGTCTTATCCACACTTTCGTTTAATCCAAAATTCATCTTACCTACTTAACAATACACCATTATAAATTCCTGTTTTGCATATTCTGCACCAAATTCTGCATAAAGCTATGCAGAATTTGTGTTTTAAGTTGAAATAACATTTCAGTTAGTTATTATAAGTTTTTGATATATATTTACTTTGTGTTGCTTACTAAAGATAACATTTTTAGTTATATATGTACAGAGTGTGAATTCAAGAAATAATCTTCTCAAATCTGCCAGATGAACAGCTGTTTTTCATCATTCATCAAAGACTGATCTAACTTCAGTTTCCACAATTAGGTTCTGTGCAGATTGGTGCAAGGAACAAAATCATAACAGCTCAATGAGTGCAATGTGCAGCTATTTCCTATAAGGCACCTTAAAATGTGAAGAAAGTTATCTTTCCAATTACAGGGCATTCATTCCTACCTTTGGTTTGAGTTTTTGTTCTTATTGAGAAAGAAGTATGAAAACTTCTTGTTATAGTCAATCTGACAGCAACTGAAATTATTCAGTCCTCATGCAACATTTTTCAGGCTGGGAGAATATTGTCCAGTGATGGATTGGAAGAGAGCTGCTGGCAACTACCTTAAGAAACTACAAAATTGGCATTTCAAATTTTCAGAATCCAAGAAATTTATCATCAAAAAGTAATGAGTGACTGCACTGTTAGAAGAAAGGTGTTCGGTAATTCAGATACAGGAATCAATAAAATAGTAAACATCTGGCAAATTATTTTGAAGAAGGTCAGAAAAAATTGGATTCCTTGGATCCCATCAAGATTTGCTGTCAGGTGAAGCTGTGGATATAGAGGAAAAAGATGAAGAAAGTTGTGACAGTTTACACGAATTATCTGATATTTTGAGAATTTAAGTTCTATAGCATTAATTATAAATATTACTGTCATTCTAAAACTTGCCTTATCTGTCATATAAACTTCAATATTTTCTCAATTCTCTACTGAAATTATAATCCCATTGCCTAATAGCAAATTATGTTAATTCTCTACTATTGTTTGGTTTATAAACTAATGTTAACATTGTCAAATTTAAAGCTTTAAAAGATTTTATTAAATACTGAAAAATAAGCAAAATTGGATAAGATTACTTTGGAATGACTCGTCTCATATCAAGACATTTAATTTAACAACATTAAAATAAAATATGCACAAAGAGGATTAAAATTTTTACTTACTAATGCAGGATACCATGGATATCCTCTGCATTTAGCCCAAACTAAATCTAATGGTTGAAGTGGTATGAGTTGTTGCTGTTGAACACTCCATCCAGATGATGACTTTCCACGATTCCCTAAAGTATTTAATTATCCAAACATTATAAATAATTTGTTTTTCATTTGAAAATGAGCATTAAAATTTCTTACAGTAAACACAATATATAAGTGAATTAATTAATTAATAAACATTTTTAAAATGTTCAAATAAATTATTCTTTAAATCCAAATTATTAATTATTATTTCAACTTAATTTTATTATTAATGAAACTAATTTGTTTTAAAATATCAATACTTTCAATACTATATAATCTAAATATATAAAATTGCTTGTCCTGACTGACTGACTTACTGATTCATCATCGCCCAGAGCAAACTGCTGGACCTAGAGAGATGAAATTTGGTACACAGTTAGGGTACGTCATGAAAACGCACACTAAGAAGGGATTTTTTGAAATTCCCAAGTGGGGGGAAGAGGGAGAGCATTAAGGCTTAACCGGAAGAACGGCTTCTACTGTACTATTTTAGATGCGTTTTTGTGTTTTTATCTGCGTTTTAGTAGGGTACACCATGGCTATGCACACTAAGAAGGGATTTTTAGAAATTCCCCCGCAGGGGGGCGACGGAGAGCATTAAGGCTTAACCGGAAGAACGGCTTATACTGTACTATTTTACATGTGATTTTTTGTTTTCAACTACGTTTAGTCTTCATTGAGTACTTAGGTGTATTAAATTGATAACATTTCAGACATTGTTATAAATATTTTTATCTATTTCGATTTTAAAAATGTTCGAACCATTTTAAATTCGAATTTGTTATTGCATATTGGTTCGATTATAGAACAATTGTAAACATTCCGGAAAATTGATCAAATTGAAAATAGTTTGTTTGATTCTCGGCAATTCTCTTCAGTGGTAGGTGTTATATAGACCTAACGATTACTATGGTTATTGAAATATTGAATGTAAATGGGGTTTGCTTGCAAAACCTCCGCGGACAAAGTCGCAGGTAACAGCTAGTGTTTTATAAGAATAAAAAATCCAGAACAAAACATTACTTAAAAATACATATAATTTGAATACAGTTCACTCTTAATATCCAAACTAATTATTACAGGGTTCAGATTAGTAAGGTGCTACAAAGAGAGTAGAAGTGAAGAAGTCTACCAATAAATACATATATAAACAATTTTTTAAAATGTGATATTTGATGGATATATGTTAAAATGAGTATTACAACATATTTTACAAATTTATTATGTTCTTGAAAAATAATCAGCGACTTCTTTTTGTTTTTGCTTAAAAATTTAATGGAAAATGAAAAAAAAAAATTGGTTTAGATTACTTAGAGTTAAGACTCATGCAAGTTAAATTTAATAAAAGTGAACTATATATACAGGGTGTCCATAAAGTCCGTGTGCAATTTAAAAATTTTTTAACTTTATTAGTATTTGTGATAGAAAAAAATCTGTAAAAAGTATTATAAAGCTTAATTTATCCAGCTTTAAGTGAAATTAATTAGTAACTCTTCAACACAATAATTTAACAATTTTTCAAAACTTTAAAAATACTTCTTTTTCAGAATTAATGGTTTCAACTCAACAAAAAGTAAACTGTGTCCTTTGGTTGGCTGAACTGAAATCTACTGAAACCTCAATTGTTAGAAGACTTGAAAGCTAAAATAACTAATGTGATTTCAGGCATTACTGTAAATCAATTGGCAAATCTTTTTAGAGAACTACAAAATCATATTACCCTTTACTAAAGATGGTGGACTTGTGGAAATTTAATAAAATACAATAAAACATTTCAAAAAATATAGATTTTCTTATTTCCAATACATTCTACATAATTTCTCTATCACAAATACTAATAAAGTTATAAAATTTTAAAATTGCACATGGACTTTATGGACATCCTGTATTATTATACAAAATAAAATACATGAAATTTTTAAATTTTATATGTCAAAATTAGAAATATACCAGTTTTATATTTTTCAAGACAAAAATTATATATAAAATTTAAATTTATACAGAATTATTCTTGAATTTTGCTGAAAAGAAATATTTTAAACTTGTAAAATGTAATTAAATTCCTTAAAATCATTTACCTCTTTGACGCCGTCGTTCGCCTGTACCAGACTGTTCATCTCCATCACTTTCACTCCCTGATTCACTATCTGATGACATGCTACTAGTAGAAGTACTGCTTCTGGTGCTGCTTGTTTCTGTGTTTTGATCTGTATCACTTGCTTGATCTTCTATAATGAAATAAAGAATGTAAAATTATTTAAATGACGAGATAACTTTAATTGAGCTATAAAAATGTAAAATCAAAATTAATGTAGGGTAAAATATTTTATATTAAACAAGGAAGTTAAATCAAGAACAAAATCATAGTAATACTTAAATAACGAAACAATTTTTTTCAAAAATATTATTTGACTTTAATATGTAAAAATCATCATTAGACAAAATCACAAATAATAAAGCATCAAAAAATGCATTTTTTATTTATAATCTGAAAATCTAAATTTAATATATTTAGACTTTCACAAAATTTAAATAACATTTTATAAAAATCTTATATTGAGATTAAAACTATGTATTACATATAAAAGTAGACAAACTCAAAGAAAATATAAATATTGATTCTTTATATATAGTTTCAATATACAATTTATTATTTAATATATTTTGGTCAAATAAAAGAAATTATCATTTTATCATTGGTGTAAATTTTTCATTTTCTGTCACAAACACACTATAAATTTTTTACATTAAATATTTATCTACTTATAAATAAACCAGCAATGAGTTACTCAACTATCCCAGCAACATTTAAAATTTTGGTGGCATCATCTGTTATCATATTTTATTTTAAAAATTTTTATATTTTTAACTACTATAAAATGGCAAAAAGCTTAATTTTGAGGGTAAAGGTGGGTTTTATAAAAAATTGTAAATGCTAATGACGAGTAAAATCATCATTAAGTCCGACCCTATTGTAAATACATAAGACTCCAATTATCTCCCCAACCCCTCAACCACTAAAATTTAACAGCATTAATTCCCTTAATAAACAGACCTCCCTGCAAAATTTCAGTAATTTTCAACAAAAAAAGCACAGGCATTTTTAAGCTTCAAACAGGTTGAACAAAATCATACCACGCACACACACTAACATCCATACATATAGAAATTATTCCCAAATTGTTTTACATTTCTCAACATTTCAAGGTGTCCTAAGTCCAAAAATGTAACAATCTTAGGGGGGGGTCATTTTTTTGACCGATTACCATACTTTTCCTCTGTTATATATATATATATATATAACCAGTCAGAAAAGTAAAAAGAAAACTATTCAAGATAGGTCTTTCCAAAAATAGTGCTCAAGTGTTAGAGGTATAAACGTGTAAATTTAATAATTAAATTTAAATATCTGAAATTTGATATTTACTTCACAATTAATTCAAACCAAACAGAGTGCCAAGTAATTGGGCTATTATATGGTTAAGTAACTAGATTAGAAACTAAATCATTTGTCTATAGGCAGGTAGTTCTGCCACCATCTTATGTCAGTTTTAATAATCATAAATTAATTTTAATTTAGAATTTCTGCAACAAAAGAATTGGCCTGGAGGGAAACCACTTACCTCTAGACAAATAAATTAGTTTCTAATCATTTAATAGTCAGATAATTTAAATTAATGATAAATTGAGTTTAAGATGTTTACACTTTGCAGTTACTTATTTCCTAAATGCAAATTATAACTATTACATGTGTTTTTTTTTATAACTTGTTATTTAACAATATTCAATAACATTGATTAAAATTTTCCCCTAAAAAGATTGTAAAATTCAATTTCAAACTTAAAGTGCATTTTAAAATTGATGATATCTCAGAATCAAGGAAATATAGTAGTAAAATATTTTATGCTAATCAAGTGTTCAAAATAAAAAAATTAAACATGTAAAGCAAGAGTGGGTTAACAGTTTTAAACAACCAAATAAAATATGAAGGTGCCCATGTGAGGGGAAAATTTTTTTAGGTTATTACAATCTCTAGCTGCCTTGTCAACAAGTCAATGATCAACTACTTTATTGAAAAAGATGATGAAAATGGTGAAGAAGAACATACAATAAAAAATAATAATATATCAGGCAATGCATAGAATCAGTATATAATAAAAAGTTACAATAAACCTAATTATACAATTATATATTATTCTGTAGGCCCTTTACTATATACATGTTTTGAAAATGACCACAGGCTGGATTACATATGTCGAGGGCTGGAGTCAGCCTGTGGTTCATAGGTTGCCCACTGCCTATTTAAACAATGGAACTTGAGTTAAAAAGTAATAACTGAACCAAAAATGATTTAATAAGCATATTTTAAAATATAAATAAATCATAATTTGCTGACTTACGAGTATTAGACCTATATATCTTGAAGCTTTCCTTTTCTGGTATAGGTGAGGTAGGAAAATTATCAAGAGAAGAGAGTGGGGCTACTGTTGTTGAAGGACTTTGCTTTTGTTTAGGAGATGTGGGCTCTGCTAATCCACTCAAACTTGTTGATCTGCAACGTTTCTTTGTGCCTGAGGAAATAGCTTAATTTGTTGAAATTCAAAGTATTAAAATTCTAAAAAACCAGTTCCATCAATATTTGAGGGAAAAAAGAGAATAATTTTTATTTGCATTCAAACATTTTTATTAAAAAAGTACTTATCTTCAGATTTTTATGAATAAAAATTTATATAAATATAAAATAAAAACAAATCAAAATATTTTAAACAAAGTAATGCACAGAGTAAAAGGTTTGAATACTTTTAAGCATTTATCTACTAGGAGACAAGTGAATATTCAAGAACATTTTAACTGTTTAAATTTCCACTTTTGTTGCTCTATCTAAATCATCTTGCTTGTTATATATGTTATGGACTAAGTGATTAATACGAGCATTATTTATAATGCCCAGTCATTATGAATAATGACAAACAATATAGGACACTGTAATAAATTTCAGGTTTTTATCATAATTTATCAGACTGACTGATCACACTATGAATACTGCTATAACCTGGTCAGGGTGAAGTGATGATAATAGGTTGAGGAGTGATCAACTGATATATACTAGCCAATCAGCATTCATGTCTGAGTTGCGCATGCATATTGCATTTAATATCGAATTTTAAATTCAAGTGACCAGTAGTTACTCTTGTGAGACATTTTAATTTTACTTTTGCCTCTTAAAATGGCATTTTCTTCTTTGAAAAAGTAACAATTATGGAGCAATCATTAAGTGATATGAATAACTGCTTCAACAACTGATTAAATGAGTTAATAGCAACAAAAGGTCAAATTTTTACAAAATCAATGTATTGATATTTGACAATGGTACAAAAAGTGAAAGAGCCGAAAATCAAAGTGACTTTGAAGTTACTAGAAGAATATCAGCATTTACATAGCTATGATGTATGAAATAGAAAAATTAATTGGGTACGTAAAAGAAAGTAATTTGATTAAATATGTTCACACTGAAGAAATATTTCAGATATTGCATGACCATATTGCTATTGACAGTGACGACAGAAACCGTATGGAAAAATAATTAAGTATGAAATATAAAAATATTACAAGGGATACGAGATATGATCATAATTTACTTGAACTTATGTGAAATTTTTCAGAAAAAATAGAATGTTCCTAAGAAAGGCTTGGTAGTTAAACCAATTTTAAGTAATGAAATGAACCTGTGAGATGTCAAGTTGACCTTATTGATATGCAGTCGCAAGCCAACGAGCAATATAAAATTTATACTCTTGTGCCAAGACCATCTGACTGAATTCATTCAACTACAACTGTTAAAAACCAAAAGGGCTGAAGAAGTAGCCATTGTTCTTACAGAGATTTTTACAATTTTTGGTGCACCGAGCATTCTACAAAGCGATAACAGCAGAGAATTTGTCAATAATGTCATCAAAGAACTGTGTAGTATGTGGCCTGAGTTAAAACTAGTGAATGGAAAGCCCAAAGTACTCACAAAGTCAGATTTCAGTAGAAAGATGTAATCAAGACAGAAAATATGCTTAGTTCTTGGTTGGAGACTAACAGCACTAACAAATGGCTGGGTTGGAAGGATTACATTTTGTACAACTGATGAAAAATAGAGAGCATCATACTGGTATAAACTGCAGTCCCTATGAAGCCATGTTTGAAACAAAGTTAAAAGTTGAACTAAAAAATTTTATACCTATAGAATCATTGACCAACATTAATATAGAGGAAAATTTGGAAAATCTCTTTAAAACTAACAACAATAAACTTTTTGTATAACAAAAATGACATTCCAGAAGTTTCCTTTAAGTTCATTTTTTGATCAAAGTATAAATTTGTTAATAATACTTTTTGTTAACATTAATTTAATTAATACAATTAATAATACTTACTTTTAAAGATTGCATATTGCTTTTAAAATACTTTGAAATAATTCACAAAAAATAAACAATTTTTAAAAAATGAAAAAAGTAAAAATTAAAAAAAAATAAATCAAATTGCCCAAAGAGAATGTAGCTGTATTCATAATGTCTGGTCAATTTAATAAATTAGACAACATTTATCAGGCTACACAGCCATTTTAGTCATTAATCATAATGGCTAGGCATTTTAAATAATGCCCTATTAATCACTTGGTCCATAACATATATAATAAGCTCTGAATTTAGAAAAAAGATTAGATATATTCAAATATAAAAAATTCTATTAATCAAATGTACACTATTAACTAGTTACAGTAGAAGTTCGTTAAACTGTCAACTTCTACTAGCTACTTTACAGAAGGGTGACAAATAAAGCCCTTTCATTGTTGTCATCTCAGATAAACTGACATCTCTTGGGTATAGATTTAAGATTATACATAACTTACTTTGTATTCAGTAATATGTGTAACTGATAAATTTTCTTCATAACAAACCAATGTGAGGACAATATACCTAAAAACAGGTTTCTCACATTTGGAACACGTGTGAATTATATATGTGCAGCACATCTGAAAAATAATTATTACATGCACATCAATCATTGTGAATATTGGTTTTGAACAATAATGTGTTTGTTTGTTGTTATTTTTTCCAGGTTTTTCAATCAATGTTAACACTGTGTAGTCTACAGTGTCACAGTAACACTGGTACAAAATGTATGACTATTTCTGTAATGTTCAGGTTACATATAACTTATCAAATTTCACAAATACATCCAATAATCCAGTCCCAACCTAGTCCCATAGACACCAGATTAACAAACTTTTACTGTATTGAAGATGTAGGGTAGTTTTTAGAATATTGTTATTGAAGATGTGATAGTTTAAATTAACTATCTGACAGTTGCATTTTCTATCTTTTGCAATTGACAATATAATGATTTTACATAGAATTGCCTAGAAGAAAATCTATATAAAATCTGAAGTTGTTAAAACTATTCTTTATAATGAAAAACTTTGTTTGCATATAGAAATTTCTCTTGTTATATATTCTATATTGATAAGCTTTAATATTTAAAAAAGAAATTCATTTCATAAGCAACATTCATTTGCAATAAAGACATCACATGTAACACAATTTATCATAAATAAAAAAAATTATATGTCTTAATATAATAAATAACCAATATTTAATTAGATTACATTGAACATAAACATTCTTAAAGACCAAAATTGCTATGATATGATAATTTTTATTATTGTAGAAATTAAGCTAATAAATTTCTTGATGATTACAAGAAACAGGTACCACAAACAGATGATGTTGCTATCATAAATAAATTAATTAAATAATATGATTAAGTTAGAATTTACAAAGGGCAGTTTAGAATGAAACATAAAAATTATCAACTTGAAAACTACTGAACATTTATAACTCTTGCAAAGACAAGTGTATTATTATATCAACTAGATCATATGAAGCTATATTTTCAGATTATACATATCTCAAAATTTATATTTGATATTAATGGTTATTTATTGTTTCTCCAATTGGAAAAGGTTATCAAAATGACAATTGGGACAACTGATTAAACAATAATAACTATTAACATTTATAAAAGTCTAAACTTTAGATAATCTGGAAAAGTGTAGCTTAATGTAGTTTGGATGGAGAATTAGATGGACTTTTTTGTTGACCTTGAAAATCATTTTCAAGGTATAAAAACGTCCATCCAATTTTCCATGCAAGACTTCCTATGTAACAAAATTAATATATCTTCAGTACTTTTAATACAAAGAAAAGGTGTAAAGGACACTTGATTCAACCTGCATGTACAAAATAAATTCTAATGAAAATAAAATTTTAAGATCTGCATATTTATCCATGTTGACAGTCAGAAACTACACATATAAAATGTATCTGGTGCTGATTGAACATGAACAAGAGTACATAAATATAATACTATTTGAAAAATGCAAATCTTTTCCCTATTGTCTATCATTCATAAAAACAAAAATTATTTAACATGCAAAATATGTGGTAAGCTGTGTAAAGGTCATTAATAAAATAAAAAGTAATAAAAATAAATAATTTAAAACAAGAAACTTCATGCAGGATATAAAATGCCTACCATAAGTTCGTTCCTTTGTTGAAGAAACAAGTGATGCTGTTGCTATTGCTGTAAATACATTGCCAGTTGAAGTAGAAAGATCACCGTCATTGGCAAATGAGGCAAAAGAAGAAGGAAGTGTAGAAGGAGATCCTTCAACGCTTTTTCTTGGTCTTCCACCTGTACGTTTTGGAAGTGAAACTGGAGTGGCCGGCTTCTTTGCCTCATTAGCAGATTTTTTCTTAAAGAGAACTGCAGTCCTGCGATTAACTCCACCAACTGCCGTGGCTGCAGTAGCTGTATCGCCATTGGTGTTGTTTGTCAATGCAACGTTGTTCTCCGGGGAACCACTGCCAGTTATGCTGGCTTCTGGTGCCACAGAGAGGGACTTCACTGAGGGAGGTGCAGCATTAAGTCCACCAGCCACTGCTCAGCAACAGTGTAAATAAACAGAAAGAAAAAAACAATAACAAAAACACAAGCTTAATATCTCAAACTAAATGGTGGTTATTGGTGCAGTAAAATTTTAAAAATTAAAACAAAGCTTTCATTACCATTAAAAGTAAAAAAAAAAAAAAAAATTAAATAGCAGCAAAATTAAAAATTGACACAGAATTGCATGATTAAAAGTAAAAGCAAACAATTTTTAATAAAGAAAATATAAAACTAGCAAATAATTTTATTTATATCATGTCAATTATTAAAGGTGACCAAGGAAATTATTTCTGCAGAACAAAAATTTTAATAAAAATTTCAACAATACTTAATTTATGGTAACTATTACTGAAGCAATAATGGAATAAAAGAAAAAAATTATATTTATTTTTCATAACCAATAACACAATCAAATATATTTCCTGCTGATAATGCTGCAGTTTCCCTCACCTTTCTTGGGGGGAAGAGAAACATCACTTTCAGATCTTGACCTCTTCTGAGCACGAGATGTCTTACTCCTACTTTCTTTTTCAAATTCTCTCTCTTTCAACTCTTTTTCTTTTTCCTTCTGTTGCCTATTCGAGGCACAGCGCCTCGTTCGACTGCCCGTTACTCGCTCCTTATCTGCATTATCTGCATCTTCAGATACATCGGCACCAGTTTGCCTTTGTACCTTAGCTAAAAAACATCATAAAAATTAGACAATGCAAAATTATATAATAGTTAATGATAATAAATAATTATATTTTGATCAAACATTTTATCTTAACATTTTAATATATAATCATCATTAAATCTGTTTATGAAATTAGTTTATGAAAGAAGCTAACATCGATAGATTAATATTGGGATATTTCTATACTGACTTCAGGAATTATTAAGTGCTTGGATAGCATAACTTAAAAGATTTGTTTATATGCAACAGTTACTGGTTTAACTTGCTAAACAAACATCTCTAATATTAAATCAGTCTAAAAGTAATTTAACCCAAATTATTATCTAATTATAAAAATTATAGGATGGTGATTCTATCTATCTCCAATTACAGATTCATTTAAATGTTAATTTACGTAATTAGTATAAAAATATTCAGTTGAAGAAAAAAAAAGAACAAGATCTGATGATTATGGTTTCTTCTTTAACAATAAAATAAGTGATGTATTTAATTTATTAATATTAATTATTATTATATAATTGATAAATATAAACTAAGATTTGACCTCCAAAATTCTTTCTACACAATGGAGGTCTAACCTTAGTTTAAAGCAGAGCAAGACTTTTTTGCATAGTCTGCTCTACGTACAAACTGAGGATTTCCTATCTTTTGACAGAATTGTATTCACTTTCACTTTCTTAAACATCTGTGCCAATCAAAATTATCCTCAGCCTCTTGTGCTTTTGTAGATGCTCCTGCTGAGGAGACTCTACTGCATCTCATTTGTGAATGTGCAAGCATAGACTTGCACAGTCACAAATGAGATGCAACAGAGTCTTGCTTGTTCATCTGGATTCCACTTTTTTGAACCCTGATGAACCACCTCAGCTTCTCTTCAGAGGTTGACTGTCATTTCTTTTTAAAGAGGTTAAACTTCTGAAATAATCTCTCATGGAGTGCATAATGAATCCTGCAATTATTTAGTCAATTGGCCCCTCTTGTACAGTACAATACAATTATATACAGTTTCATCTTTCCTATTTAATTTCCATAAAAATAAAATTCATCTGTACAAATTTTAATTAATATACAAATTATTTATCCAAACTCCAGTCTAAACTGCTTGAAATTTGTGTGTGTTGAAGAAAAAAAGTTTAATTTTTAAGTATTTTTATGATTTGGCAATATTAAAATTCAATAAAAGATAATATAAATAATATTCACTATATGCCTGTGAAATTCTTAAGTTAAATAAACTGTAAATTAAGCAAATACAACTGAAAATACATAAATAAGTCAGCACTTCTTAAATGTCCTAAAGGTCAAGTGATAAATCTTCTTAATAAATTTAAAAGAATATAATTTATTCACAACATTTAAAGTGAAGAAGTATTTATTTACTTATTTGTTATACTAGAGAGACAAAGTCCACTTGTTTGCCACTGAATGGTTTTGTTTATTTGCTCATCAATTTCTGGTACCACTTTATTTCCTGATAGAAATAGTATCATGATAATTTTAAGTTATATATATATGCCCATTATCTTTTATCCAATAGTATTATATTCCTGACTGATATGACTTCAATATTTTTCACATATAAAACTAATTTTCATCTCCATTGAAAAACAGCGATATAAATAAATATACATGGGCGGTTTTTTCAAGAGTTGAGATTTTGGCAAACATATCAGGTTTTAAGAAAATAAAAACCTAGTTTGATCCACAATACTTTAACCTACTCTCCAGCTGGGCATTTAATAAGGAAAAAAAAGGGCGGGTCTGTTTTTGTTAATTTAAGTACTGTTTCAATTATTATAACAAACTGATATATCATAATGTAAGTAGAAATACACTATGTTGCATTTTAAAACATCACAAAATGCAGCATATGTCATGGTAAGTTAATGGAGTTAAATCTATCAGAGCTGTTTCTTTTTCAACTTCCAATGGTCCATAAAAGAAAGACAAATGTAAATAACAAAATGAATTTATTACCAAAAGTTAGATACAAACATGGTTACTTTTTGACATAATCACCATAAAGATTGAGGAATTTGTCATATTTGTGGATGAACTTTTCCATCCCCTCTTCATAGAATGTTGCCACCAGTGAATTGAGATGGCCTTAACAATGTTGTTTTGAAGGTTGTCATTAGTCTCAAACCTCTGCCCTCCTAGTCACATTTTCAGTTTAGGAAAGAGGTGGAAGTCTTCTCACATTAAAAATTTCCAAGCTGAGTGGAAGTCTTCACCACCTTTAAACACCCAGCGTATAGCCCCGATTTAGCACCGAGTGATTTCCACCTCTTCCCTAAACTAAAAACATGGCTAGGAGGGCAAGAGGTTTGAGACTAATGACAATCTTTGAAACAACATTAAAGCCCATCTCAAGTCACTGGTGACAACATTCTGTGAAGAGGGGATTTCAAAGCTTGTCTATACATAATCATCATGAAGATTGAGGCATTTGTCTATGTCGAAAAGTAACCATGTACCTAACTTTTGATAATAAATTCATTTTGTTATTTACACTTGTCTTTCTTTTATAGACCATTATAGCTTGAAAAAAAAAACAGCCTATGCACTTTGTCATCATATCATTATTATATATATATATTATACACAGTATTGCATCAGTGTCCCATAGTTGAGGGTGTAAGGTTACACATTTCAGTCACTTTTACAATTATAATTTGTGGAATTTTTCATTCAATCCCAGGGAGGGCAAGTACCCCTTTTCTCCCTCTGCAGATGCCCATGGCCTGAGTGTGTTTTTATTAATTAGTTCATAGTCATAATAAAAAAATTTTTAATATGTTAAATAAATGAGTTAAGTGTTTTTAAAAAGCACCTCTATGTACTTCAATATAAAATCATTTACTTTTTTGAACTTCATAACATTAAATATTGTATATTGAGAAATATTATAATATATATTGTTCAATATACATGCAATTATTTGCATGGGCACAATTATAAGGTAACCAACTTTTTTACAATGAAAAGGAGGACACTAATAAATTGAAGGAAAAAATATTGTAAATAAAAAACATTTTAAATATATACTTGCTTACTGGAAACTAAAATTAATAATATAAAAAACCATTCAAAAGTCCAGCATAATTCTTTAATAACATAAGAACGTTTTCAAATGCATTTAGCATCCATCTTCTGTTATTTCTCTAAAATCAAATGCGGAATTCGAAAAATTACGTAAGCAAAATTTCAAATTAATAGTTATACACATATTAAAAATTGACACATTATTAATAAAAGCACTACACGTAAAAAAATTTCAGTATGCTTAAAATAATAAATAAATAAATAAATAATTTATCAAGAGTCATCTTAAGCTTAATTAAGCCTTTATATAGGATTAAGCCACTTCGTCACAAAAAGATTTCCAAGCAGATGAAAGCCTGTCAGCATCACTATAGTTAATGCATTGCGTGCTCTTCTGTGCCCTGTGGATTTCCAATTTTTCCAGATACTTTACTGCGTGTTTAGATCCAATGGCTTTTATGATAGAGGCCTAATCCCAAAAAACTGTGATATCTTGTTGTTTGGCATAAGTGGCAAGGACCGTACTGTCTATGGCTTAGTTCACCGATAGCTTATGTTCATTGATTCTTTTCTTCAAATTTCTTAATGTTGCCCCTAAATTTCTATAATGTTACCCCTAATGCGTTTGAAAACGTTCTTATGTTATTAAAGAATTATGCTGGACTTTTAAATGGTTTTTTATATTATTAAAAACATTTTCATTGCAACAATAATACACTATAATAATCTTTACTGCATGCATAGGTGCCATGTCGTGTTTCGATAAGAAGTAAACAAAGCCATTTGCGCGCGCGCTCTCTCTCTCTCTCACACGTGAAGAGCATGCATCTCAAGGTCTCCCACGTGAAGAGCATGCATCTCATAATTGCATCTCATCGCACTGTACAGAGCCTTGATGAACCATCATGTTAAATACAAAAACGGATCGGTTCGGCATTGATCGAATACGAAGATTTACAGATTAGTCTTTAAATATCAAAAAGGAGGACATGTAAAAGGACACTTTTCAAGGAAGGACAGAACTTACAAAAGGAGGATGATTGGTCACCTTAACAATTAGTAAATAAATAAAAACAAGAACTTATACTGGAATGAATAATATAAATAAAACAAAATAAACCTTTAACTATCCAGCAATAAATAATGTTTAATAAAAAAATCCTAGCATCTCTATAAACGAAAACTGGTTAAAAATTTTATATTAATTGTATCCACTAGGTCCAAACTATTATTATTGTGAGCAATGTGCTAATTAATAATAATTATCGAACTGTTAAATAAATCAACAATAACAAAAAACTGTAATGTTGTAATGAGAGTCAGATAATATGTAAATTNTTATTTCCAATACATTCTACATAATTTCTCTATCACAAATACTAATAAAGTTATAAAATTTTAAAATTGCACATGGACTTTATGGACATCCTGTATTATTATACAAAATAAAATACATGAAATTTTTAAATTTTATATGTCAAAATTAGAAATATACCAGTTTTATATTTTTCAAGACAAAAATTATATATAAAATTTAAATTTATACAGAATTATTCTTGAATTTTGCTGAAAAGAAATATTTTAAACTTGTAAAATGTAATTAAATTCCTTAAAATCATTTACCTCTTTGACGCCGTCGTTCGCCTGTACCAGACTGTTCATCTCCATCACTTTCACTCCCTGATTCACTATCTGATGACATGCTACTAGTAGAAGTACTGCTTCTGGTGCTGCTTGTTTCTGTGTTTTGATCTGTATCACTTGCTTGATCTTCTATAATGAAATAAAGAATGTAAAATTATTTAAATGACGAGATAACTTTAATTGAGCTATAAAAATGTAAAATCAAAATTAATGTAGGGTAAAATATTTTATATTAAACAAGGAAGTTAAATCAAGAACAAAATCATAGTAATACTTAAATAACGAAACAATTTTTTTCAAAAATATTATTTGA